GCGAGCTTCCCTGCAGCCCCGTGCTTCCCTGAAACCTCGTGCTGACCGAACCTGACAATAGACTCATCATGGCGTCTGAGTATCTTTTCCAAGGGCTTCATGGCTCCTCTACCAAGTGCGAGTCTGTGGCGTATTTCTTGATTGCTGGTTCCCTTATTGTTGAGAGATTCTGCTTCTAGGAAAGGATTACGGGAAAGTAAGCGGTGTTGGGGAGAGGGCAGAGCTCCTCCGCCCCTCCTTTGCCTGACCTCCTCCCCAAAGAGGAGCTGGGTCCGAAGGGGCCTCAGTGGCCACCCAGGCGAAGGAGGGACGGCCGGGGGCCCCTGGCTCCCACGAAGGAGTCCGCGTGTCCGGCGGGGCCAGGCCGATTCCGCCCGAGAGTCCCGAACGAGCTTCCTGGGGCCGGCCTGGAGCCCCTTCCGGGGATCCCGGAGACCCCGCGGAGGGCGGGGGTGGCGCAGAGGCCTTACAAAGGGGGGCAAAGGGCAGCTGGGAACACTGACCAAGAGCCTGACGCCGAGGCCCGGCAGAACTCCAGGGCGAGTTACGAAGCGGTTGGGGTGTGGGCCGGAGCAAGGGATGCGCCACTTGGCTGGACCAGGAGATGCTCCTCAGAAACGCCCCCTGCCCTCCCGGGGCCGGCCTTGGGCTTGGAGGCGAGCCTCGGCTTGCGGCCCTGGCTCTGCCTAAGCGCCGCTGCTGGGACAGAGCGGGCGGGCTCCCTCTGGACATGGGGCAGCTCCCAGCCTGCGGAGGGGCGCTCCGGCTCAAAGCTTTGCTGCCGCCGCCGCCGCTGCCGCCGCCACCACTGCCTGACCTCCCTCCTCCTCCGGGTCGGGCTGCCTCCCTCCTGCTTTTGCCTGTTGCCATGTTTGCTTGGCTGTGGAGGGTTTGGGTTCAGCCCCCTGTGCCAGGCAGAAGACTGAGCGGCAGAGCAGTCAACCTTCAGCCTCTGGCCACGTTCAGCCAATCCCGGAGGCATCAGGGGAGGCAGAGCGCTCTCCCCGCTGGGCCCCGTCCCACCTCCTCACA